GAAAATCAAAAGGGCCAAACTCGTTCAGCATTTCTGAAGCTCAAGGAAATGAAGAACACATTCAAACCTAGAGTTTCAATAATCAAGGATGCTTTAGGAAGAATATTAAATGATCCAGGAAGTATTAAAAGAAGATGGAAAGAATATACTGAGCCACTGTATTGAGAGGAATTGGCAGACACAGAAGAATTTCATGCAACAACATATGAGCAAGAGGCTATGGTAATGAAGGAAGAAGTTCAGGCTGCTTTGAAGGAAATAGCAAAAAAACAAGGCCCCAGGAATAGGTGGTATACCAACTGACGTATTTCAGCTAACAGATGCTGCCCTGGACGTGCTCACCAAGTTGTGCCAAGAAATCTGGAAAACAACCATGTTGCCAACTGACTGGAAGAGATCTATATTTGTTCCCATTCCAAAGAAAGGTGACCAACAGAGTGTGAAAACTATAGAACAGCATCATTGATTTCTACTGAAGATTATCCAAAAACGACTGGAACAGCACATCAGCAGAGAACTGCCAGAAGTCCAGGCTGGGTTTAGAATGGGTCGTGGTACTAGGGATATTGTATCTGATATTAAATGGATCTTAGCTGAAAGCAGGGAGTACCCGAGGAATCTACTTCATTGATTATGCAAAGGCATTTGACTGTGTGGATCATAACAAACTGTGGCTGACTCTGAGAAGAATGGGAATCCCTGAACACTTGATCATGCCAATGGAAAACCTATACTTGGACCAAGAGGCAGTCATCAGAACAGAGCAAGGAAATGGCAGGGCCTGGATTAGGCACACCTTAGTCTCTAGAATGATGTAGTTCTTCAATACTTTGGAGAGGTGTCTGACTGTAGACTTTCCCAATGCTATTTATCTTTTGACTTCCTAGCTGCTGGTACCGAGTGTTGATTGCAGAGCCAAGGAAACTAAAGATATTAATAATCTCTTCATCGTCTATCATAATGCTGTCAATCAATTTAGTAGTAAGAATCTTTGATTTCTTTGTGTTGACCTTGAATCCACATTGAAGGGTGCAGTCCTCTTCAGTTTCACCAAGCAGGGCTGTGTTATCTATGTAACACAAGTTGTTGGTGAGTCTTCTTCCAATCCTGATGCCACATTTCTCCTCAGTCTTCAGAACAGAGTAAGGAAGCACTGCATGGTTCAAAATTGGGAAGGGTGTGTGCCAGGAATGTGTCCAGTCTCCACACCTTTTCAACCTGTATGCAGAACAGATTATCTGGGAGGCTGGGCTCTATGAGGAGAAATGTGGGGTCAGGACTGGTGGAAGATCTATCAACAATCTGTATTATGCAGATGACACAATCCTGCTTGCTGAAACTGAGGAGGACCTGAAGCACTTGCTGCAGAGGGTCAAGGACTGCAGCCT